CATTCTACCTTCAGAGAGTTTGACCACTTTAGATACCTATGTAAGTGGAATCATGCAATATTTGTCTTTTTTTTTGTGACTGGTTTATTTGACCTAGCACGCGGTCCTTAATGTTCATCCATGTTGTAACATGTAACAAGATTCCCCTATCTTTTTAAGGCTGACTAATATCCCATTGTAAGTATATATCACATTTTCCTCATTCATTCATCAATGGGCATTTAGGTTGCTTCTCCCTCTTGGTAGAATAATGTTGCAATAAATGTAAGTCTGCAAATATATCTTTGGAATCCTGTTGTTAATTCTTTCAGATATACACCTAAAAGTGAGATTTCTGAATCATGCAGTAATTAATTTTTTTAAAGAATTTTATTTTTTTAGAGCAGTTTTAGGTTCCCAGCAAAAACTGAGAGGAAGAAACAGAGATTTTTTCGATACACTTCCTGCCCCACACATGTATGGCCTCACCCATTATCAACGTCCCATTATCAATGGGTCCACCAGAACGGTGCATTTGATACAAGTGATGAACCTACAATGATGCATCATAAAGTCTTTGTAAGGGGGGGATCCAAAAATACCCGAAATTGTCTTCTGGAGGGTGACCCCCTTGTAGTACAGGCTTCCCCCACTAGGAACCCATCTGTGTCAGTGCACCAGCTGGCGTTGTTGTGAGAGGCTGTGTTTAGCTTCAGTGAATCTTTTTGGATGACTCTTTGGTCAATGCTTCTGCCCATTTCACGATGGGTGATTTAGGAGCGCACCTGCCCACACCATGCTGAGTGTTCGGCAGTTTTTGACCAAAAACAGCATGACCCTCATGCCCCAACCTCCCTATTAACCCAATCTCCCCCCAAGTGACTTTTTCTGTTTCCCCAGATGAAAAAAGTCCTCAGAGAGAAGCGTTTTGGCAATGTGGAAGAGGTAAAACAAAAAACAGCAGAAGCACGAAAAGGCATAAAAATCAAAGAGTTCAAAACTGTCCTGAGCAGTGGAAAAAATGTCTCAATAGGTGCATTGCATCAAATGGAGAGAACTTTGAAGGTGGCTGAAGTTTAAACATGTAAGAATAAATATATAATTTTTTAATAAATGAATTCTGGGTTTCTTGGGGGCCCCCCCTCATAGTTTACATTAGGTTTCACTCTTGGTGGTGTACATTTCATGGGCACAGCCAGATGTATAATTACATGTATCCATCCTTAGAGTATTTTTACTGTTCTAAAAATCCTCTATGGTAATTCTATTTTTAATTTTTTGAGGAACTTCATACTGCTTTCCATACTGATGCATCATTTTACATTCCTACCAACAGTATTCCAATTTCTCTATATCCTCATCAACATTCATTATTTTGTTTTGTGGGTTTTTTTAAAAAAGTAGTTTTGTTTTGTTCCTTTATGATTAGTGATGTTCAATGTCTTTTAATGTCTTCATTATGAATCACTTGTATATCTTCTTTGGAGAAATATCTGTTCAAGTCACTGTCCTTTTTTAATTAGGCTGTTTTTGATGTTGGTAGTGAGTTTTGGGGATTCTTTATATAATCTGGATATCAACTTCTTACCTGGACATTACTTTTTTAGAAGATTTGGAAATATTTTTTCCAGTCTCATGTGTTGCCTTTTCACTCTGTTGTGTCCTGTGATGCACAGGGTTTTTTGTTTTGGTTTTTTTTTTTGGTGTAGTCCAATTAATCTATTTTTTCTTTTGTTGCCTGTACTTTTGGTTCATACTGAAGAAATTATTGCCAAATCCAATGTCATGGAGCTTTCTTCTATGTTTTCTTTTAAGAGCTTTATAGTTTGCTTGTGCATTTTAGGATCTTTTGTGAACTTTGAACAATTCTCTCTTATAGATTTGGAAATTTCCCACTTAAACCTAAATTATCTCTTAAAGATATTTCTCTCTGAAATTAATGACTGAGATCTATATATTTGAGGTCAAAGGGCTTATGTATCTTCTAACAGAAGTATAGCTGTAACAGTGGATCCCAAGGGCTTCCTCTCTATTATAATTTCATAGTTTTTCTATTTGCTTTTAAAAATTATTATCTTCTTCATCTTTCATTGCTGGGCTTCCTGATGTTGCCATTATTATTACTTTTTTTAATGCTTTAATTACTTTATTATAACTTTTTTAATCTGTTGACTCATTTTGCAAACAGCTGCCTCAAAAGGTTTGGGGAGCCTTTGTCACTAGTTACCAATTTAAGAAGCCTGCTTTCTGAATAATGTTTATTCATGAATATGTTTGAACACCTTCTTTGTGCAAAACACTGTGGGAAACACAAAGCTGCACAACTCTCCAGAAGGGTCTTCTTAACAGGCCCTTAACGGGCCACACACAGAGTCTCATCTCCCTTAGAAAGATGCTGGCCTGGAAACAAAGCAGGCCAGCAGGCCACAGAGGGCATTTCTTCCCTACAGATCAACACAGCCGGATATGCAGCCCACAAGAGCTAGCTCTCTTTTGGCCTTCCAGATGACGTGCCAGGTTAAGGGGCCCAAGACTCATACCCAGTACGTTCAAGAGAACATGTTAGAACAGCGGTCCCCAACCTTTTTGGCACCAGGAACTGGTTTCGTGGAAGACAATTTTTTCCACAGACCTGGATAGGGTGGTGGGGGATGGCCTTAGAGCCTGCCACCAGATGCAGCTTAATTGTCACATGCCGCTCACTGCTAGGGTTTTGACATGAATCTGCAAGCAATTCATTTACTATGGTCTGTGTGCAGTCAAACCTCTCTGCCAACGATAATCTGTGTTTGCAGCTGCTCCCTCACACGAGCATCACCCCGTCGGCTTCACTTCAGATCATTGGGCACTAGATGCTCATAAGGAGCACAACCTAGATCCCTCATGTGCGCAGCTGACAGTAGGGTTCACAGTCCTCTGAGAATCTAATGCTGCCGTTGCTCTGAGAGAAGCCATGCTAGTGTGTGTATAGCTGTTTGCTGACTCTCCTCAGGTGGTGATGTAAGCGATGGGGAGCAGCCGTAAACCCAGACGAAGCTTTGCTTGCTTGCCCGCCGCTCGCCTCCTGCTGTGGCCGAGAGGGTGGGGACCCATGTGTTAGAAAATAGCTCAGCAGTAAATCATAGCTTTAAATGCCAGGGTAAGACACATAAACTTTCATTTTATTATTTTTACCACTGATTTCTGAGGAAGGGATTAACGTGATTGAAGCTCTAGGAATGTTAATAAGGCAACAGTATGCAAAGAGAGGTAGAAGTAAGGAGAGATTGGAGGCAGGAAGACTAGTACATTCCACTGGGGGAATGATAAAAATACTGTAAGAGCAGTAGCTGACACTTTTTTTTTTTATTTAGCAATGTACTATTTGCCAGACACTGTTCTAATCATTTCCCTTGTATTAACTCCCTATAACAATGCTATGAGGTAGTTGAGGTAGGTACATATATTATCCCTATTTCATAGATGGGGAAACTGAGGCATGGAGAGATCAAGCAACTTGCCCAGGGTCTCACAGCTATTAAGTGGAAGGACCAATATGTGAACCCGGAAAATCTAGCTCTAGAGCCCATACTGCTCGTCACTGAATGACGCTGCCCTCCAGAGCACACGATCTGTGCTCATGTTGTCTAAGGTCTTAGAAAAATCCTTAAAGAATAACCAACCCTCCCTAAGAAACCTGATAATGACAAGGCTGATAGTTCTGGTATCAGACTCAGCACATCAACACATCTGAGGATATCATGTGGGAATAGAAAATGAGATCTTAAAGAGTAGTTGATACCTCTTTATTCAGTGTCCACCAAGTATCCAGTACTTTTCACACAACATCTCATTTAGTCCTCACAACACTCTATGAGAGGGGAATTATTTTAAATCCACATTTTACCAGATGAGGCTACACTTTCTGTCCATTATTACAGAGCTAGTCAATGAAAGAAGCAGAATTAGACTCCAGACCCCCAAAAATCCCATGCTTTTCTATCTAATGCTGAGCGCATTTAGCAGTGGACAGGAATACTACCGTCTGTCGTGTTTCTGCCCTCAGAGGCTGGCACCCCGTCCAAAAGACTTGGGAGCCAAGCTAGTGTGGGTGCAGCTATGCCCCAAAGCTGCGTCTCCACAGCTAGAGGTCATAGCTGAGTCAACCCTTGTTCAGAGAAACCAGAGCTGGTCTGCATTTGGGCAGGGCTGAGGGTTTCTACACACAAAATACAAACAGGAAACCTCAAGTAAGTTCAAAAACACAGGCTCTGGGGGCTATCAATATGTGGCCCTCTGCAAAAAGAGGTTTGGAAAATTCTCTGAGGAGGACTTAGGTGAGTCATATGGAGCTGAGGACAGCACCTGCAGGTTAGAAACTCAAGAGCTCAGTTCAGGAAACTGACTGTGCTTGTTTTCTCAACTAATTCCCATATGTTTAACCTCAAAGTTTCTCAAAACTTCATTTTTTAGAACAAACGGTTAAGACATAATATTAAATTAAAAAGGCAAAACACAAAATGATATACACCAACACTGAAAAATGGTGGAGCTTTGGTTAGTACTTCTTACTCTTCTTTTTTTTGTGTGTGAATTTTTCAAATTTCCTATAATAGACATATATTACATTGTTATCCAGGGGTAAAAATAAACATACTCATTGAAATACTTTTAAGAAACGCTCTCCCTCTGCCCCAAATTTTACCTGAAGTAGTCTAGTAATTCCAACTATTCAAACAGGATACATAAAAATCACCTGAGACATTTGTTAAAAATACAAATTTGGAGAGTCCAAAGACCTACTTAGTCAGAATTTCCCTGGGTGGGGCCCAGAATCCGGAGTATTAACAAGCACCCCAGGTGACTATAACATTTTTTTATTAAGGAAGTCCAAAAGTACTTTCAGGTCTCTTTTTCCTTCTAATGTTCTTTGATGATTTCCTTTTAACACCAGGTCAAATTTATATTGGAATGCAAACACATAAAATTTGCCAGTAAGAATCAGTGTCTGGGGTACGGACTCAGGTGGCCGAAAGTCTCACCATTGGTCTCTGCAAACTTCTGAACATCACTCAGGGTTTTCAGTTCTTGTCTTGGACATGCCGCTACACACAGTGCTTCAGACTTGATCTTCCGGTTTATCAAGTCCAGATTGCATGGATCCAAAAAGAATACATACCTAAAGCATGGAGAAAAATATTGAGATACTATTTCGCAGAACACATTCTGGTTTGCTGCATATAGGCAAAGAACATATATTCCATACTCCTTCACAAATATAATCACAGATAAATTTTTTTAAAGGAATAGTTGCTTAGCCTTGGCCTATGTGGCTCAGTTGGAGCAGTGTCCTGTAAACCAAAAGGTGGTAGGTTTGATTCTTGATCAGGGCACATACCTAGGTTGCAGGTTGAGTCCCCAGTAGGGACACATACGAAAAGCAACCAATTGATGACTTTCACGTCAATATTTCTCTGAAACTCTCTCTCTCTCTCTCCCCTCTTCCTCTCTCTATAAAAGCAGTGAAAAAAAGATGTCTGCAGGTAAGGATAAAAAGAATTGAAAAAAAGAAAAGAATAATTGCTTATAAATATATTGGTAAAAGAAGGAATAAATAAATTGTAGGACTCATATTTTTCATGATCTACTTTTATAATAGTTACATTTTTGTCATGTGATTTTGCAATTAGAAATAATCTATTTTAGTGTTTTTAAATAATTGATTTTAGTTTTATTTTTTTTGCACTAAAAATTACTGGAATATCCCAATACTGCTTTATAACATAAATTGTAGTTTATATGTAAACTTTAGTTAATGAATGTCTAATTGTAAAAATGAATATATAAAACTTTGGCTAATGAATATATAATTATAAAAATGTATTATAAAATTAAATATATAAAGTTGAATGAAGACTAGCGGGAAATACACCAACATTTTAACTACAGTCATCTCTGGGTATTAGAATAAAGTAACTTTAATTTTCTTTCTTTTACTTTTTAGAATTCTCATCATCTAGAAAGAATGAAAATTACTTTTGAATTGATAACTATAATAAATACTATTTATTAAAATGGTCCATTTCATATAAACAAAATAATCCCCAAATTATAAATTATCCCTTTTGTATACTGCATATTTATATTTTAGGAAAGGGAAGATTAATTAGAAATTAACATTAAAAAAGTTTTTAAAATGTTTTGAAGTTGAAGAGATATAAAGATTGCAGATGCTATCATTTGCCTAAAGAGAAAGAAAGAGCCAAATATTCTTAACTGAGATCAGCAAAGTCTAATATTATGGGTTAAGGGAGGGAGTACAGATAGAAATGCTCTAATGCAAGATAACAGTTGAAGAACCCCCAGCCTGGGTTCAAGTCTGCTGGGTCTATGGAAGGTTTTAGAGAGTCATGCATCTGCCAACAGCCTTTCTCACACTGTTAAACTCTGTTGCTATACAAACTATAATTCAAATGAGAAAATACAGTAAAATATAAGAATTAGGTGAGATAACTGAAGAGTAAAAACATGGATATAAAGTCAATTGAAACCTACATAATTTTATTAACCAATGTCACTCCAATAAACTTAATTAAAAATATAAAGTCAGTACATGTACAGGGACAAATAATATAAAGAAATACTGGGAAAATATTAAATAGAAAAAAATAGCGTGTGTATGCTGGGGGGAGGGTGGTTAGACTAGCGGGCCTTCGCAGGTGGAATACCATTTTACATCGCACACTTCAGTGATGCAGGGGCCGGGAACTCAGGATGAAGTCCAAGTATACGCTACAAAGCATGAAGCTAAAAAAAGTAAGCTTCTGTAACCCTGTTAGAGAGTCCAACAGCAGTAATGTTCTGCATAAATAAAAGGAAAGGAAAAAAATCAGGCAGAAAGACGTGATCTGCAAGTGGGATTCACAGACTTTTTGTGGCTGATGACAGGGAACTAGTGCACAGAGAAAACTTTCTGTCAGCCTTTGTGTGGGAACCATCACTCGCTTACTAACTGTCCCTCCATCTGTCCTGTCCATCTTATTGAGCATGCTAACACCTGGGGCCCTGTGCAATGAACCACACAAAGCCAGCCCCAGCCCCCGGCCAGGGAACACTCAGATCCTTGATGAAGGAATCGTAAAATGTTTGAATCGTTTACCACCACCACTAATAATAACAATACTATTAACAGGAAAAATAAAAATGATAATGGTAGCCAACATTCATGGAGTACTTACTATGTACCAGATAATGCATGAAACCCCGTACACACATTTACTCATTTATCCTGTCAACAACCCTGTTTTATGTTTCCGTAGGGGAAGGTAGGTAGGTGGGCAGTGGAACTGGGGCGAGGAAGTTGAACGCACAGTTCTAAGTGATGAGCAATGCCTTGAGGAATACCTCGAAAACCCACGTGGCAGTAGAGTAGCAGGCTTGATGCAAAGAAGAGAAAGCCAGAGGCTGCCAGCCAGAACCTTGCAACTGGATCAATAACAGTGCCTTTTACTGAGAACAGATGCTTTGTCTGATGGTCCTGCAGGCTTCTGCCCAAACCAAGGGCAAAAGTACCCTCACTATATTTCCAATTTCTTTGATTTGCCATAGTAACGGAGCAGCAGCCTTAGACCTTACAGGGGTCAGACCAATCTGAACCTGCTTTCTGGTTCCCTTTCTTAATAGCTGTCTGAGCTTGGGAAATATATTTATCCTTCTGAGCTTCAGTTTCCTTATATGTAAAACTGCATACCACCTATTTTATAGTTTGTTCTAATGTTATTGGTAATGTACACAGAGCGCCTAACATTCACTATATATTTAGTGATTCATATCTTTAAGGGAACTAACTTTCACACACTTTACATTTGATAGTAAGTCACTGAATTCAACACTTTCTGATATGGACATAAAACAGGACTAAATACTGATATTCAACTTTCATTTGGAAGAAAAATCTGTGTAGGAGTAGTCATGACTGTCAGCCAGGTCATTAGCCTCGATAAGGACTAAGGATGCCCCCAGAACTGATCTAGCACAAGGAAAACAATACAGAGGGAGAGAAGAATTCTACAATGATGGTAACACTGTACAATTGACACTTCTCAGTTTTTAGCCTGTTTATGATTTGGAGGACTCTCCTTCAACAGAACTAAAAAAAATCATTTCAAATGGTATCTTCAGGAAATGCATTCACATACATAAACCATTACACTCAATCCATCACCCAATTCCTTACACATTTCATGTATTCCAAGGCACATACATACAATACATGTGTGCACCTACCCATCAGTGTTTTAAATAATTTATAGAAGTTAGATTCTGATTCTATTAACACTGGATGTCTGGGAGCTGGGAACTGTCACATTCACGAGCTTATTTGATCCTCACAGCCTTATGAGGGAGAGGCCATCGCCATTCCACCGAATACAGAAGTGGGACCTCCAGGGACTCGCTGCAGAGCCGCAGAATTCCATGCTTTGGTGCCAAAGCATGAATTCCAATCTAGCCTTTTGGATTCTGAGTTTCATTCTGCCTCTAATCTGCTCTGTTTCCTACAAACACAATAACCTTAACTGTCCTATATTAACTTTGCATATTGTTTCCAGCGTTAGGAAGTTTATCCAATCCAGGGCAACACGTTTATAAGTACATATAGTTTAACTAATTAGTATCTAACTAAATATTTCAGAGTAGGAAAAGTGTTTGCAGCAAAGAGACAAATTTATGATTCATTAAAATCACATTTTCTTGCATTTTGATTTGAAAATGCATTTACCAAGGCAAATAAATCCTTAGGTTCAGTTTTCACTTCAAAGAAAATGAACTATTTGTGGCAATTTTACTTTTTTGAAATGAAACAAGTACCCGATTCTAATATAAGCACGGCATTGGCAGACCAAATTATTATACCTTACAAATCTACAAATGAGCGTTTTTCAACTGAGAGCTGACAGACACCAGGTGAGAAGCTATAAAACATTCTGGAAAGGCTTGTTAAAACTTTCAGCCTGTTTTCACTAGGCCACCAGGCAAACAGCTGAGAAAGGGACGGGACATGCGGATCCTGAACAAGCACCTTGCGAAACTCCGATCACACAGCCTGGCCCCTGTGCCCTCCGCTTTCACGGTGCAGCCCCACTGTGATAGGTGGCCCACAAGCTGAAGTTAAAAGTAAATTTTCATTCCTATCCTCACTAAATCTCTTACTAGATCTATTAATAACTTAAAAACAACTTTGTTGATGTTTCACATCTTTTGGGAGTTGGAAGGAATAAAATACCAAAAGTGGGAATTAAAGAAGGAAGAGAAGCAACAAGAGAAAAATACTCCACAAAGTAAACAAGTTGACACCTCCAGGCATGGAATATACAATACGCACATAGCACAATCACATGATAGTGAGAAGGTATTTGCAGAGAATTGCAAAACAGCCCACGCGAGCTTAGATATCCAAAGTTAGGGTAATGAAGAAAAATGCGTGCACTAAACTGTAAAGCGAACACTATAGAGGACCGCAGTTAAGGCATGTAAATATATATTGCAGTCAAAATCAATACAAAAAGACAAAACAAAAAAATAAAATATAAAACAAACAAAAACGGGAAAACAAGAAAATATGGCAGTAGAGGTTGATTCTGGGAATTATTGAAGGGAAGAAAAAGGTAAATTCATTTCAAACTGAAATTCTTGAAAAACAGTAACAAGTTATCACCCAAAAGGCAGGACAGGAGAGATACCTAAATACAATGTCCATCTACACAGCGGACTCCAGGGGACAGGTAATCAAAGATGAAAGCAGGGCCATGAGACGAGGAAAGGGCACTGAAGCCCAGGCGCTCAGGAAAAAGGGACAGGAGGCACAGAGAGGGGTGACCTTTAACGCTGTGCTCAGAGCAAAACGCTAACACTGGCCCTGACTGGTGTAGCTCAGTGGGTTGGGTGTAGTCCCGCAATTTGAAAGGTCACGGATTTGATTCCCAGTCAGGGCACAGGCCAGGGTTCCAGGCCGGGTCCCCGACTGGGGGCCTGTGAGAGGCAGCTGATTCAGCACATGGATGTTTCTCTCCCTCTTTCGCCTTCCCGTCTCTTAAACAAATAAATAAGTGAATGAATGAATATAAATAAATAAATAAAATCTTTACAAAAGATAACGCTGAATGATCTGATGCAGATAAG